GGGGGCCTTTTGTACTCAATTGGTGAGGAGAATATTGTAGTAGATTGCCGGGGTCCAGCCCCATCGGTCCAGGGGTCCCCAAAGGTGTGGACAGCTTCGGCGAAGAATGACGGAAGTATACGAAGACAGCTTTCAGAGCTTCAGGAGAATCAGCTTCTTTTTTATTGCCTTGTTNTTCTCTTTTTATTGCCTTGTTACAACTGTATTCATACTATTTGATTTTACTGCTGGTTAAACAACATGACATCATGCTTTGTTCCGGTTTCTGTTTTGGCCTTTCACAGTTAATGAATATACCTTCTTATTTGACCTTTGCTAAAGAATTTACATCTGTTCAGGTATGTTAATTTTTAGTCTTACCTATTGTTTACATTTCTATAGGCTAGTCTACAGGTTACTATCTAGTTTGTTATTTATATTCTGAAGTTACTATTTTATTGCTCTACCACATAGCTAAAAGGAAAATAACTAAGCCAGCTTTTCTTATGTAAAGGTTATGCAAGTCCTAAGTAAGGGTTATGTAGCTTGCACGTGATTGTTTTTAGCTATGGTGATTGACAGCCTGTCTGGCACCTAGCCTTAGTCTCTCCTTTTACATTCCCTGCAGCAGTTCGTCCTCATTGTAATATTCTGTGTATGATTATTCTGTGTATGATAAGGGTTCAGGTGTAGATTGAAATAATCTCTTTCCTAGACTGCTCTTTCCTTGTGGGGATTCCCAGAGTTTTCCATTAATATAAACATCCCCCAGTAATACATTCCTTAGTGGGAACTCACTGGTGGACTCCCTATGGATTGCCCTGCACAGGCGAATCAACAGGGGCCTGGACCCAGGTGGGGAACTTCCTGTGGTAGTGGGCCTAACAAGTCCTAAACTTTCTGCTGACAGTCTGAGTTCCTTATAAGTGGCACATGATTTTCCTGTACTCCTTGGGGCTTTTACTGAACCATTGTCTTTTCCAGTTCCATCCAACTCCCCTTGCTAGGGAAAAGTTTCCAGCTAGGGCAATGCCCTTTTCTGGTGCAGTGACTCGGGTAAGGACACAGCGTTAGAAAGGGGAACAAGCATGGGAAGAAGGATATGCCATACACCAAGTCCCATGGAGCATTGGCTGTACAAATGTCTCCTCCTTGAAGGACTGTGTAAAGCAGCAAGGATGGAAGGGCTTCCTGCAGTAGATGTGTGTTCCAAGAGCTAGTCAATGGACTCATTTAGTATCAAGCATGTGAGGGACACAAAAGGAATGTGCTTAGTTTTTTCCTCCTCCGAAAGCTGACAGTCTGGTGACTAAGCCATCAATACCACCATCAGTGGCCATTGTTGACCTTCATTCCTTCCTTCCTTCCTTGAACCCTTCACTCTTCAGTGTTTGAGTACCTCCTTTGTACTGGGCATTAGGTCTATAAAGATGGAGAAAACAAGGAACTTTCTCACAGGCCACAGACAGGCAGAAAATGTGAGGGGCCTTAAGAAAGACACCAAAGTTTCTGGAATCTCTAAGGTGGGAGACATAACTTCTGGCTGGGGGTAGTGGGGCTGGGGCTGTGGAGCTCAGTGTGGGGGGAGGCCTGATATTGAGTACAGTGAATTCCTGTCACTTCCTCCAAATATCCAGTTCACCACAGGTACATCTGGAGGGCCTGCAAGTGAGTCTCTCCTGGACAGCTTTTACAAAGCACAAAGATCTCTTTTCTCAGTCACCCCTCTCCCACTCAGTTCTCCACCCCTGGAATAAAATCAGCAGTGTAGAGGGACCACATATAGAATCCTTAGGGAAAAGTTTCTGGAATTATATCTTGTTCTGGTGTTTCCTGAGCTCTCTCGAAGCTGAGGTCATTGCTTACATGGCACAAGCAGATGTCTAATTCCTCTGCAGCCTCTCTGTTATCCCAGCCTTTACTGTAGCATAGCCATGCTTCCTAAAGCACAACTCTGCCCAGGGGTGGCCCTGGCTTGCAGTGCTTGACATTCAAGTGCCTAAACTCCTCTAGTCTCACTTTGCCCATCTGCCAAATGAGAATAATAAAAGCAGTCCTCAAGTCATGGAGTTAATACAAACACTGGATGGGCCCTGGCTCAGCCATAACTCTATAAGCTTCACAAGGCTGTAAGCATAACATAGCCTTGCTCAAGACAGCTGTTTCCTGCCTCTTCAGTCATAGTGGCCTCTTCCACTATGGGCCTGCTATGCTTCATGGCTTTCCAAAGGCACCATCTTTAAATTTTCATCCCTAATACTGAAGTTGAGAACTGTCAAATCTGGCATATACATTCATCTGGCATATACATTCATCTGGCATATACATTCATCTCCACACTTCGGACTTCTTTTGATGGATTCTCCAGAATGACCTGTGGTATCAAGAGTTTCCATCAAGTCTTCGGCTTGCCTCTGGGAATCTGTGTAGTCCAAGGCCATGTGACTTTAAAAATTGCATACCTCTTTACTTTGCTGCCAATCACTTCTATATACATCTTTCTGCTAGGATAGAGTAGGGCTTGGAGAGGAGCTGGTAGGAAGATGAGGGAGTATAAGTATCATCTGTAGTCACAGAGAATCTACCCTTTCTTTCCTCTCTCTCTTTCAGATATTTTGATGCTTGCTTGTGTCCTCTTCTCCCTCTTTTCTTTTCCCTTTCTGATAAAATTACATATTGGAGTACATCCTATTTGTAAAATGACTGTTATTCATATCAAATTAATCCTGTTATGTCCGAGAATCAGATCCCCTATGCGGTGGAAAGACAATCACTCCAGAGCGGATAATGTAACAGCAAAAGGGACTTTTATTCCAGCTAGCTGGGGTTCGGTCGTATCCAACGCAGTGGATTTCTCACTCGAACTCTGATCTAAATTTACAACAAGCTTATATAGGGTTGCAGTGAGCAAACAATCATTGTCCTTGCAAGGGTTGTAAATTCTCCAGGAAGGGTGGGTTCAGGATGTTTCTCAACCACAGGCGCCTGAGGCTTGAGTGCACCTGGTATTTGTCAAACCCACCGATTTAAATTAATTCCTGGAACTGCCTCCACCCTCTGCAGTTTACTGAGTCACTCATGTATGCCTTTTGTCCTGCCCCGGGGCCTAGGGGCCTGCCTCTGTCTTGGTGGGTCCTCACATTCCCCCCTTTTCTTTTTCCTCATAATGAGGAATCGTCCTCATTCGTATGAGAGGGTAGGGAGTGGTACTGTTGCCGTAGTACCATTAACTGGATGGTATTAACCCTGTCTTTGACAAAAGATATGTTGTTAAAAATGCAAGGACCGACAGTAAGTAATAGGAGTAAGATTATTAATGGTCCTGCTAAGGTTGAGATAAGGGTAGTTAGCCAGGGAGATTTATTGAACCAAGACTCAAACCAGCTCTCCTGGGCTTCCCGTTCCCGTTTTCTCTTTTCAAGCCCCTCTCTTACTTTGGCCATTGACTCTTTCACTATGCTGGTGTGGTCGGCGTAAAAGCAGCATTCTTCTCCTAATGCCGCACATAGGCCCCCTTGTTGGAGAAATACTAAGTCGAGGGCCCGCCGATTCTGTAAAACTACCTCGGATAAGGAGTTCAGAGACTCGGTAAGGTGGGAGATGGATTTCTCTATTCTGTCTATATCTTCATCTACGGCGGCCCTTAGGGAGCTTAGTCCTTGATGGTGAGTGGCTAGAGAAGCAATGCCCGTTCCTGCTCCCGCTAGCCCTAACCCGAAATGAGTGGCTATGGTGACGGCCGTAATTGGTTCTCGGCGCCTCCTTGGGAAGGCAGGGGATTGGGGCCCCCAATGAGAGAACATTTCTTCTTCTGGGTGGTACAGTACTTTGGGGAGTATTGCAACCATTGTACAATACTCACTACTGGCATCAAAAACATTTTTACTTAAACACGGGGTTAACCCTGCTGTAGAACAAATCCACCATCCTCCAGTCACTGGTATGGCCCATTTAACTGTCAAGGTGGTATTGATTGAGCTACATAGATCCTGCTTAGTTGAGGGTATGGTTCCTATACACATTCCTCATACGGATACCTCCTGGAGGGTTAATTCAACCCTCCTGTCCCCCCAGTTACACTCGGTAGGAGATGCGTCCTCCGAGGTGTTAAATGTAGAATTTAGACCAACAGCTTCATAGAAAGGGGGCCGGATATCATAGCAAAGTCAGCAGGAGGTAGTTACATTTGGGTTGGAGGTATTCAGAGCAGCATAAGCAGTAGTTAGGAGCTCCCAAAGGGGCTTGTTTCTTTCCCCCAGGGTGGTGGTGGGGGTGCAAGTAAACTTAGACTCGCCTGTAGCCGTGGCTCTATCTGTCTGCGGCTTGGGTGAGGGAGTTCTGGGGATGGTTTTGCTTCTATTATGGGGAGGTTTTAGGACTACATTAGGTCCTACTGCTTGTCTTTTCGGAGGGAGATCTTCTCTTTTGATAAGTAGCAACCCTCCCCTGTCTCTTCCGTTCTCCGAATACCGGAAACCCCATGTCTTTCCTGTGGCCCATCCAGGGTAATTGGGGTTGGTGACATTTAGGAACAAGTACTGACAGGTGACCCTTTGGCCAAATGGGTCCCGGTAAACATTAATAAGAGTGCACCCGTATGGGCCCCATCCTACCTGGAGGAATTTATCTCTATTCCCTGGAGTCCAAGCTGTAGCTAAGGTTACACAGTCCCAATAAGCACAGTAGTATTCTCCAGGAGCATTGCAATGTGTCCTTCCTGGATTACTGCTGGGGCATAGATAGTAGGCTATTTGATTGAGGCAAGGTTCAATCGGCGCTAGGTTGCACTGGTATGCTGTAAAAGCAGGGCCCCCCACAGTTGTTATTGTCTGTATTACCTTCGTGTCTTCCCATCGGGTTAGAATCCACTTATAGGGGGTATGAGGACTGGGGTTCATAGCCCCCAGTCTGTGAGCAGCATTAGCAAAGTCAATAGTCCTTAGCCTGTTGTTTTATACATTCTTTCTGCTTATCTTAAGCTTCAGTGGGTCCTCTTGATGGAGCTCAACTCTCCAGCTGGTTCAGGCATCCTCCTGTTCCTGGGCGCTGGCCTTCCTGACGTGGGAGTGGTGAATCCAGGAACCTATACCCTCAACCTTGAGGGCAGTAGGGGTCACAAAAAGCACAACATAAGGCCCTTTCCAGCAAGGTTCTAGAGTTTTTGTCTGAAGTCTCTGCACCCATACCCAGTCTCCGGGCTCAATCCCTTGTTTTGGGTCGGAAGTTTGTTCCGAACCCCTATGTCACACTGCGACGGCAGGCCAGATCTCCTTCTGGATAGCCTCGATGGCCTTTGTAAGCTCGGCCAATCCTGGCAGAACCTCCCCCTTGGGTTCTGGTCCGGTGGGGTACACTGGGGGGGGGCTACCATAAAGGATTTCAAATGGTGTGAGGTTAAGTACATATGGGGTATTTCTAACCCCCAACAGGGCATAAGGTAGGAGTGTGACCCAGTCCCTGCCAGTTTCTATTGCCAATTTAGATAAAGTCTCCTTGATTGATCTATTCATCCTTTCTACTTGCCCAGAACTTTGGGGATTATATTCACAATGTAGTTTCCAATCAGTCCCCAAGGTCCAGGACAGACCCTGTATGATTTTGCTGACAAAAGCAGGGCCGTTGTCTGAACCTATTTTCTCAGGCACCCCTTATCGTGGGACGATATCTTCTAAAATTTTCTTTGCTACTACGGGGAATGCCTCAGCCCACCCAGAAAAGGTGTCAACTAGTACTAGTAGATATTTATATCTGTTCCTTCCTGGCCTTACCTCTGTAAAGTCTATCTCCCAGCTTACTCCCAGCTTCCGCCCTCTCTCCCTCCTACCTGAATGTTGATGGGTTACTTTTCTAGACTTCATGACCTGGCAGGCACGACACTGGTCGATTGTTTCTCTGAGAGTCCTTCTTTGATGGTGAAACCGGAGCTTGGCGGTCTCTAAGAGGTAGCCCATTTTCTTTTCTCCTAGATGTGTAGTGTGGTGCAAATGTAGGATTAGATGTTTTCCTAGGTCCTCTGGCAGCAGCAGTTTCCCTTCAGGGTCTCGATACCAGAGTTCCGACCCAGCCTCGGCACCTACCTTCTGAGTGACCCACTGGATATCGTCCTTGGAATACAAGGGGGTGGGGGGTAGCTTACCCATGCCTGGTGGTGGGAGCTGCAGACACAGAATGGAAGTTGTACCGCTTTTCGCTGCCTCGTGCGCTGCAGCATCGGCCACCCGGTTTCCTGCTGCCTCCGGAGCTCCTCCCTTCTGATGGCCGGGGACATGTACGATGGCAATGGCTTTCAGTTTCTGTACTGCCGATAGTAGCCGTAAAATGTCCTCCTTGTTTTTAATCTCTTTTCCTTCAGCAGTGAGGAAACCTCGCTCCCGATAGATTGCCCCATGGAGATGTACAGTTCCAAAGGCGTATCGGCTGTCTGTGTAAACAGTGAGTCTCCGTCCCTTTGCCCGCTCGTGGACTTCGGCAAGGGCTATCAGTTCTGCTCCCTGGGCCGATGTGCCTCTCGGTAGTGCCTGGGCCCAGACTATTTTCCCTTTCTGATCTACCACTGCAGCTCCTGCGTATTGCTCCCCTTGCTCTACATAGCTGCTCCTGTCTGTACACCAAGTCAAGTCAGAATTGTTTAACGGCCGGCCCCTTAAGTCTCTTCGAACCGCCGTCACCTCAGCTAGGATTTCTGAGTTGTCGTGTAGCGGGGCTTCTAGGTCAGGTACAGGGAGTAGGGTAGCGGGGTTCAGGGTAGCCAGGGCCTCAAACGTGACCTGGGGCGCATCTAATAGGAGGCCTTGGTAGTGAGTCAGTCGGGTGTTGGATAGCCACTTACCGAGGGGTTGCCTTAATATTCCCTCAATTGCATGGGGGGTGGTGATTGCTAGTTGCTGTCCGAAGGTTAATTTGTCAGCGTCATGTACTAGTGTCACCGTGGCAGCTATGATACGTAAGCATGGAGGCCATCCTGCTGCCACAGGGTCCAATTTCTTTGATAAGTAAGCAACTGGCTTTCACCAGGGTCCCAGAATCTGGAGCAATACCCCTTTAGCTACCCCCTTTCTTTCATCTACAAATAGCTGGAAAGGCTTGGTCGGATCAGGTAGCGTTAAGGCTGGGGCTTCCAGTAGGGCCCTTCGTAAGCCTTCAAAGGCCTCTTTCATTTCTTTTGTCCATTCCCACTCTTTTCCCTCTTTTGTGGCTGCATACAAGGGCTTAGCCTTTTCGGCGAAGCCTGGTATCCATAGCCTGCAGTACCCTACAGAGCCAAGGAATTCTCTTACTTCTCTAGGTGACTTAGGTTCCGGGATTCGAAGTACAGTGTCCTTCATTGTTTGGGTAAGCCACCGACTGCCTTGTTTTAACTTGTAACCTAGGTAGGTTACCTCCTCTTGGCAGATCTGGGCCTTCCTAGCACTAGCCAGGTATCCTAGGTCTCCTAGTGTTCTTAGTAGACCTCGAGTCCCTGCCAGGCACTCCTGCCTGGTCCTGGCAGCAATGAGAAGGTCATCTACATATTGTAAGAGAGTTAGCGCAGGACATTGTGCCTGAAATCCCCTCAAATCTTCCTGTAAGGCTTCATTAAAGAGAGTGGGTGAGTTCTTGAAACCTTGGGGCAGTCTGGTCCAAGTTAGCTGCCCAACGCCTCCCTTCTCCTCATTATACCATTCAAAAGTGAAGATCTCCTGGCTCTGAGGTGCTAATGGCAGGCTGAAGAATGCATCTTTCAGGTCTAGGGTGGTATACCATATGTGGCTGGGAGGTAAACTGCTTAATAATGTATACGGGTTGGGTACCGTTGGATGAATATCCACCACCTGTTTGTTTACCTCCCTTAAGTCCTGTACTGGTCTATAGTCCTTGCCCCCTGGTTTCTTGACAGGCAACAGTGGGGTATTCCACGGGGATTGACACGGAGTTAATATCCCTTGTTGTAAGAGGCACTTGATATGAGGGCCAATTCCTTTCCTGGCCTCTAACAGCATCGGGTACTGGTGTACTCTTACTGGCTTTCCAGTTGGCTGTAAGTCTATTATAATAGGGGCTTGGTGGGCGGCATATCCTGTTCCAGCTGTTTCTGCCCACATGTTGGGGAATTCCTTAAGCCAGGCCGCCATATCAAGAGTTAGTTTGGGGCCGGGAGACGGTTGGTACAGCCTATACTCATCTTGGAGGGACATGGTTAATACCTGGATAGGCTGCCCTTCTCCATCCGTGATATGTACACCTGTCTCCTCGAAGTAGATTCTGGCACGTACTTTGGTTAACAGGTCCCAGCCCATTAACGGGGCTGGACACTCAGGGATAACTAAGAAAGAGCGCTTTACTTGCTGCCTTCCTAAATTGACTGTTTTTTGGGTGGTCCAAGGGTAGGATTTGGACCCAGGGGCCCCCTGAACAATGCTGGTTTTGCTGGACTTTTTCCCGGCGTCCTTGTTGATTACAGAGTATTGTGCCCCAGTATCTACTAGGAAGCCAACTGGTTTCCCCTCCACCTCCAAGGTTACCCAGGACTCAGGGAGGGGCTCTGAGTCCCGTCGGCCCTAGTCACTGTCATTCCCANTCTACAAATAGCTGGAAAGGCTTGGTCGGATCAGGCAGCGTTAAGGCCGGCGCTTCCAGTAGGGCCCTAGTCACGGTCGTCCCCTGCCACAAGTACCCGAGCGGCCTCTCTGGGCTTAAACTCTGTGCCCCCTTTGCCTGGCCCTCTGCGGGATGGGCACTCTGACTTCCAATGTCCTTTTTACTTGCAGAGGGCGCATTGATCTCTCTCTAGTCTGGACCGTCGAGGGCCTCGGCCAGCCTGCCAGGGTTTCTCCTGCCTAACCTTTTCTGGTCCCTCCCTGGCGCCTGCAAAAAATATCTTGGCTAGTTCTTTCTGGTGTCTTCGATTTTCCTTAACTTGAAATTCCCTATCTTCTTGTCTAATTTTCTCCATTCTCTCCTGATCTTCCCTCCTGAGCCTGTCTGCTCATTCTTCTGGTGTCTCCCGGTTGTTATACACTTTCTCTGCTACTTTTAGTAAGTCCTGCACTGACTGTTCTCTGAGCCCCTCTATCTTTTGTAACTTCTTTCTAATGTCAGGGGCTACTGGGTTCACAAAAGCTAAAACTACCGTGGCCTTGGATTCTGCAGCTAAGGGGTCCATAAGGGTATATTGTCTGAAGGCCTCATAGAGTCTCTCGAGAAAAGCTCCCGGAGTCTCATTGGCTTCCTGACTGACTGCATTTACCTTTGCCAAATTAGTGGGCTTTCGAGCCGCAGCACGGAGACTGGCCATTAGAACCTAGCAGTACACTCAAAGACGCTCCCTACCTTGATCTTGGTCGAAATCCCAAGTGGGACGGTCCAGGGGAAATCCTTCATTAATGAGGTTAAGCTGAGTGGTGGGCCACCGGTCAATGCCGGGACTAGCTTCCAAGCCTCCGCCAGGATCCTTTCTCTCTCTTTGGTTGTGAAGAGAACCTTTAAGAGTTGTTGACAATCATCCTAAGTGGGATTATGAGTAAAAATGACAGAATCTAAGAGATCGATTAATTCCTTGGGGTTCTTAGAGAAAGGAGCATTCTGGGATTTCTAATTATAGAGGTCACTGGAGGAGAAAGGCCAATATTGGTAGTATCGTTGGCTGTTAGCCCCTACAGGACCAATAGCTCGGAGAGGGAGAGCAACTGTAGAAGAAGGGCCCTCTCCTTCTCCTCAGTCCTCCTGGCATTGTGGTCTCCACAGTCTTTTGGCAATACTGTCCCCCCTGGGCCCTGAACTGGAGACTACAGCTTCTGGTCCTGCCGGTGGAGGAGCATAAGGGGGGTGGAACCTCCTCTACATCTAGATCTATGAGGGAAGGATAAATGCCGTCATCAGAGAGAATAGGTTTAGGAGGAGCTGATGGCGCTGGCACCGGGCCATGGGAGTCCTTAGGCTGAGTCTTCGCAGTCACTGCCAGCACCTGGGCTCCTGTTGGCTCGGGAGGCAAAAGAGGTTTTAACCAGGAAGGGGGGCTTTCAACCATCACCTGCCATATGAGAATATATGGGAATTGGTCAGGATGTCCGTGGGGTCCACCTTGGTTTACAATTTCCCAGACCTTCTTAATTGTGGGGAGATAGAATGTCCCCTCAGGTGGCCACCCTACTCCAAAAGTCGGCCATTCTACCGAACAGAAGGTCTGCAGTTTTCTCTTACAGACTTCCACACCATAATTTTGTCCTCGGGACCTAAACTCGGAAAAATGGTCAACAAAGACAGAGAGTGGGGTGGACTGGGTCTGTCCCATAGCCAGGTCCCAGACAAAGGGTCCAAAGATACCTAGACAGAGCAAACTTGTAACAAAGGCGACAACAAAAATTCAACACGACGTAGACAACAGTGAACAGGAAACAAAATGCCAGCGCGTTCCCATAATTTCTCTCTCCGACCCACTCTTACCGAAAGGTGCCCACCATTCTCTAGCGGGTTCTGGAGCCTCGGAGACGTCTCCCCAGCTCCCCCGGTGGCCTTCTGTGCTTCCGCACAGGCACACTGCCAGGATTTACGGGACCTTCCTAGGCTCCCTTGCCTAGGGTCAGATGGATCGCTCTATCAATCCACTCGGGCCTCTCGACCCCTCAGAGTCGCCCCCAAGTAACCACGGCTCCCTACATAGTATGTCCCTATATCCGCAGTGGAGGGCTACCCGTTCCTCCACCTGGGGATCCCGGATGAACCCCCAAATGTTATGTCCGAGAATCAGATCCCCTATGCGGTGGAAAGACAATCACTCCAGAGCGGATAATGTAACAGCAAAAGGGACTTTTATTCCAGCTAGCTGGGGTTCGGTCGTATCCAACGCAGTGGATTTCTCACTCGAACTCTGATCTAAATTTACAACAAGCTTATATAGGGTTGCAGTGAGCAAACGATCATTGTCCTTGCAAGGGTTGTAAATTCTCCAGGAAGGGTGGGTTCAGGATGTTTCTCAACCACAGGCGCCTGAGGCTTGAGTGCACCTGGTATTTGTCAAACCCACCGGTTTAAGTTAATTCCTGGAACTGCCTCCACCCTCTGCAGTTTACTGAGTCACTCATGTATGCCTTTTGTCCTGCCCCGGGGCCTAGGGGCCTGCCTCTGTCTTGGTGGGTCCTCACAATCCCAAAGCAGTACAGTCAATTTCATTCTAAAATATCAACAAGACCACTGCTTTGAACTGCTTGTACATTAGTGAGAATTTCATGTTCTGAGCGTTTCAACTATATGCAGAAAGTTAGTTTGGCACAGTTCCTGTGCATTGTCTTCATGGTAGTAAGCAAAGCTAACATCCCTGCAAGGCTTTTCAGTTCACAACATGCTTGCCCATGGCTCCTCGTTTTCGGGCTCCAGAAGAATGCCTCGCCGGGTCCTTTTCCTCATCCTTGTACCACATTGGATTCTCCCCAGTGTCCTGGGACTGTATTATCATTCTCTTCACTTTAGAGATAAAGCAGCTGAGATTCAGAGAAGGGAAGTGATTTACCTCAGCTTGCACAGTAAGTGACTGAGGCAGGACTCTACTCTGACTCTGACTATGGTCATCTGGTCCCTCTACCCACAGAGGGGAGGAGGTAGACTATGCTACCTAGAAGGCCCTTTCAAGCTCAAGAAACAGTTTAATACTTTTACTGTACCATTTGGGAACTCAGTCTTGACCAATTCAGAAGGTTGTCTTTCTCAATTCAGAAGCTGTATCTTTGGTTCCTGGATTGCTTGATTTGATTCTGTGCCTGCCCAGCCCATGGTTCAAGAAGCCTGCCCAGCCCATGTGGTTCAAGAAGCCTAACTCCTCTGAACTAGTTCCTCCTTCTGTACACTCAATGTCTATCTAACTTCATGTTAGATTCCTCACCTCAGCGATGGGAGAAAGACAGTTCATAGTGTGGATCCTTAAGTAGTGTCCCAGCTCAGGCTGTCATTCCATTCCTAGGTCACATGATGGTCACTCATTCCCAGGTGTTTCTGCACTCTGGTTATGTGGAATTCATTGTAATTTCCTATTTCCTTGCTTCTGCTTAGGTATTCTTTATTCTGCCTTGTTATCTGGGTCCCAAGATTTTTCTTAGTGTTTGTTTTCCCTTCTGTAACTCTCTGGATCAGACAGAGATGCACAGTGAGGCTAATGAAGTTTAAAATTAAGCCTCAGTATCACTGGCTTGCACAGGCCTGGAAGGGGCCATAACATTATAGTTTATGTAAATCATATGGTTTGTAAAATCTACAAAATATTTTTTAGCTGAAGTTGGTTCAAGGTGCCTCTCTTTTCATTATGCTTTGTCCATCATTCTTGCTCTTGTGTTTGGTGGCAATGCAGTGGCCATGAGTGTATTGGGAATCTGGCTAAGGATATGTTAAATTGGGATACATTTAGTTTGGATTTGAAGAGACATATTTAAGGGGCTCACAACCAGTTCTGTACATGTTCATGTTATTACTAGGTGCTGTATGTTGAAATTGCTTTCAAGAATACTTCTTAATGTGCCAAAACACCCAGTATCAGGACAAGAAGTGCAAGACTGGGAAACACACTGTAATGTAACTGTGTTTTACAACAATAGGTGCCAGAAACATATTGGCAGTGAAGAAGAATCTAGGTTCACAATATATAGAGCCAGAAGCTAGTTTGTGGAAGTCTTCCAGTTGTAAATCATATATGTAAAATTGGCAAACACAAGTTCTCTCCTGTCAGGAATATACTTAGTGTGCAGTGTACACAATTATAAACACAACATAGATTTATACTAACATTGGATGGGGGTTATGTGAATGGCTTTCTTGAGAACTGCTGTGATTGTGAGGCACAGATGTATAGGAGGACTACAAACATTGTGTAGCATGCAGAAAAGAGTTAATGTAGCAAGCCTGAGACTGCTGTCTGTAGAAAGGCCTGCTTGTCAGTGTGGTCCTCTGCTGTGGTCCCCCAGTTAACCAAAAACTTATGAGACTGGCTCACTTGTGCTTAGACTGTTTTTGCAAATAATATGGTTTATGCTGAACCCCTGCTTTCCTTCTGGGAGTCTGGAATTTTGGTGCACACTAGGAAGAGAGTGACTATGTGATCAGCCCTCAGTAAAAACCATGCACATTGAGTCTGGGCTACCTCGGACAGAAACATCACACACATCACTGCATTTTCACTACTGAGGGAAGAGTGAGTTGTGCTTGGCCCCTTCTGGGAGAAAGAGAGCATAAGGAAGTCTGCAAATGGGTTCTTCCAGGCTCTCCCTGTGGCTTTTCCCTTTATGACCCATCTGTGTCCTTACTACATCGCCATAATAAATCTTAGCTGTGAGTACAATATACTAAGTCTTGTGAGTCTCTAATTATGCAATATAAGAAAAACATGAATAATATATTACAGAGGTATCAGGTGGTTAATTAATGAAAATATGCTCTTATATAATTTTTACTGAATTTTGGGATGTCTAACATTTATTGACTTTTCAAATGTATACTCTATTGTATTTCTTTTCTCATTTTAAGTATTCACATTTGTTCTTAATTTTGTATTGGTAATTTTATACTCTTATTCTTAAAGAGGGTCCCAGGTGTTACAAGCTTCATTCCCCACAAAAGCTGAATTTGCTTCTGTCATGGACTCAAGACTTGCCACCTCTTGTTGATTTTGTTACAGGTGGGGAAATTAAAACCCAAAGGGGTAAGTGAAGCTTACTTGGCAAAACTGGAGCAGGATCCATGTCTTCCAACTCCCAATTTAATGCTCTTAATCCCTCCATTTCATAAAGTGTTTGAATAAATTTTCTGTAAACAATAGTCATGGTGCATTGCCCATGCACTGGATGGCACTTAGAAGACTGAATTTCTAGTCTCTTCTCTTTCAGTAGATGGGTAATCTTGAATGAGTCCTTTCCTTTCTGGGGCACATCTTCCCCTTTGGTAAAACAGAAAGTCTGGACAAGATGGTTTTTA